CCCCTCCCTGTCCCGCTTCCTCTTCCTTGCGACCCTTTGGCTCTGTGCCGCCCTTACACCTTGCACCCTGATCACCGCCCCCCCAGCTCTGTGCTGCCCATTCCCTGCACTGCCCCTAGACCCCAATCCCGTTCCCCGCGCCTCCACCGCACGCTGCTACCCCCGATCCCTGCATCCCTCTGGCTCTGTGCCTCCCATTCCCCGCGCCACCCCCGTACTCCCCCACTGTACCCTGCACCCCTCTGGCTCTGTGCTGTCTGGGCACTCTACTGCCCCTGTGGATCGGGATTAAAGAGTGCTTGCCCATAGGGAGGGGCTGGACAGGGCAGGGAAAACGCTGCTGTGACCCAGCAGCAAGTGAAAGGGGGAGTTCACTTGAAGCGCCTTTGCCTTTACGGAAAAAAACGAATGAAAATGCTATTTATAGGGCTAAAATGCCAGGACAAAAAAGAAAAAAAAAAAAAAACATTGCAAAATGCAAACGTGTGTAAAAGACAACAACAAAGGGGGGGGCAAAAAATGTTTTGCTTGGGGCAGCAAACAATCTAGAGCTGGCCCCTGGGGAAGGGAAAGGAAGGGGAAGGGAAAAATATGGGGAAGGGGCTTGTGCTGAGGGGAGGAAGTCAGGAGAAGAATAAGAAGAAAGGGGAAGGTACCAAGGGTGCAGGAGAGACAAATGCCAGGGGGCCAAGTGCAGACAATGAGGAAAAGGGCAGGAGGGGAGGTGTCAGTGGGAAGGGGGTCAGGGTGTTGCTGGGAGAGGAGAGGGTAAGGGCACTGGGGGCTACAGGGAAGGGGGAGGTGCTGGGAGAAGGCTTAAAAGAGGGGGTGGGCATGAGAAAGACAGGGATGGAGCAAGGCATCTGTGAGGGCACAGGGGCATGAGAGGAATGGGGGCAGAGAGTGGTGAGAGGGTGGGTATCAGGGAAAAAGAAAACAAAGGGGGCAGGGGCAGTGAGGGAAGATGCAGGTGCCAAGGGATTCTGGGGGTGAAGCAGAAGGTCAGACACCTGCAGGGAAGGGACCAGCACCAGAGGAGAGAGGCAGGGCAGGTGTGTAGAGGGAGGTTTTAGGAGAGGGGATGAGGAGGGGTAGCTCACATGATCAGAGTGGGGCTACTGGAGGAGTGGGCACAGGGTGGAGAGAAGGGCTGGCGGAGGGGGGCAGGTCTCAGGAAGGCTGAGGGCAGTGAGAAGGGCAGGAGTCAGGATAACAGAGGGTGAGGGGTTGGGGGGCAGCAGGCACCAGGGGAGCTGATGGAGCAAGGGGGAGACATGGCAGCAGAGAAAAAAAGTAGAAGTTTATAAGATATTTATTAATAACCTGGATGATATTAATAACTTATTAGTAATTACTGTTCTTATTCTTATTAGGAATTTATGCCATTAAAAAAACTTTTTGTGGGGGAGGATGGCGTGTCCCTTTTTTTCTGGCGAGTAGGGTTTTCCATAATTTGTCGACCCCTGCCGAAGAGTGTGTTTTTTCAAAAGAAGAGGCCTCCAGGAAAAAGCACAGGTGCTGTGGTGGCCACTCCATCGACAGTAATCACAATGGAAATGCAAGATAGTGACCACCTTGATTTGACACTATCTTTCGAAAAAGCAGATCACTTTTTTGTTGCACTTTTGCTGTTTTTCCCGGAAGATCTGAGGGTCTGGGTTGGGTGCAGAAGGGAGTTGTGACCTGGGAAGGAGACTGGGGTGGAGTCTGGGAAGGGGTATGGATGCAGAGGGTTTGTTTTACATGGAATAGGAGGTGCAGGGGAGAAGGGAGGGGCTGAGGCAGGCTATGGCCAGGAGGCACTTACCGGGGTGACTCCTTGCCTTCCATTTCCCCACACACCACTCAAATGAGCTGCAGAGGCCACGTGCTACTCCAAATGCTAAGAGCCTGGGAGGCCAGTTTCCAGCCAATGGGAGCTGCAAGACCGTACTAGGGCAAGGGCAGCGCATGAAGCCTCTTCCACCCTCCCTTGGGGCTCACAAAAACACAGCCACCACAGCAGCTTCTTAGAGCAATGTGTTGGGGTGGGGTAGACAGGAAACCTGACAGCAGCTTGGATTCAGCCTAGAAGCTATATTTTGCCAGTCCCTGGTATCGACACATTTTCAGGACTCAAGCAGACTTAACTGAAAACAGCAGTATGCAGGCTCCTAGTCGAGGGAGATGCGATGGGTGCAAATGCATCCTTCTATAGTCCTCCCAAGCAGACCTGCTCCAGCCAGCCAGGGAAAGACTAAGGCCTATTCCTGTGGGAGGAGGGGAAAAAACCAATCAGACCCAGCCTTCCCCCAGCTGGCTAGAGCATATATATGGGGAGGGAAGACTGGGCAGTGCACAGCTCCTGCCTTCCCCTAGCCAGCCAGAGCACTGTTACTTGAGGGACCATGGAGGGGGGAGATTCACACTCTTGTGGTCCAAATTTACAAAAAAAGACTCCCGCCTCCCCCAGAATTCCCACATATGGGCCTGGTATGGCCAGTGGCAGTTCAGCCTAGTCATGCAGGTTCAATCCCAGAGACACCAAGTGCATGCTCAGGTTAGCCCAAGTCATCATCACCCCATTGCCATTTTTATCACGCTATCTCAAGTGACATTAACACATGAACCTGTGCTGGGAAGTACTGACTTAGCTGTTCCTGCAATGGTATACCCACAGCCTCTTCCTGGTTGCTCTGAAGAGCAAACAAAGCTGAGGCAGACATGGGCAATGCAATGCCTGCTGAAGATTATGCCCATCCAAAGTTGAGACTGCTTGCCAACTAAGCACTAAATTTATCATTTAACTAGAGCAACTTATTGCAAAGCCCAAGAATTAACCACTGCAATCTTTTATGGATTGTAATGGGGCAGCATGGATCAGTATACTGTGAGGAAGGAAATCACAAGAGTCCACAAACCCAAACTATGGCTTGAAGAAGCCTTTAGGCTCAATTTTGCGTAGGGAACCGGCTACCAGAAATGAGTGTCAGTTTCTTCCTTGGTCCCCTCTTAGGCTATGTTTAGACTGCTGCTTTTTGTTGAAAAAAAGGTACACAAATTGCGCTCTGCAATTTGCATACCTTTTTCCAATTGTTTTCTGGGAAGAGGCTTTTCCAAAATTTGGCCTATCTACAGTGGCCCAATTTTTGATTAAAAAAACCTCTTTTGGAAGAGCCCCTCTTTGTGAAACAAGGAAGACAGGGCTTCCTAAAGTGCATCTGCTCTTCTGACATTTTTGAGAGAAGAGCAAATGCATTCTCTAGGCACAGCAGAGTTTTTAAAACTCCATAGTCTAGACATAATGACACTGTCCCAGAGTAAGGCTAAGTCAGTGTTTCTCAACCAGTGGTAGAAGTACCCTTAGGGAAGAAGTGGGGGGGAGGAGGGGACAGGGAGAAAGAGGTTACATCAACAACTGAAATTTGGAGAAAAAACTGAATTTGTTTTAAGTTTTACAGCGCTTTATTATTTTTGTACTTTTTACACCCAAAAATTTGTATCACCCGCCTAGCTACGATTAAGTTGTTTAAACAAATGTGTTGCAATAGTAGAAAAAAAAAAGTGTCTGAAAATTATAGGTACTGGGGGTACTTTTTTTTTTAAGGGGTACTTTTTTTTTTTTAAATAAAGGTTGAGAAACACTGGTGTGAATTACTACAGCACTTTTCAGGTTACTGCTTCATCCCAGCTCTCCAATTGTAGTAATCATTGCAACAGAGGGGCAAGGGAAAACACCGTAGAGCTACAGCTCTACCTACTTGCTCAGAACGAGAACCACTTGCACGGACCCAACAGGTGCAAGTGACTCAGTGTGGTCAGGAGGGGGGTACAGTCCTTGTTTTCTGCTCCAATATGTTGCTGCTAAGGATAGGGATGTAAGCAAGTAGTTGAGTTGATGGCTCCCTTCCCCCTCCTTGCTCTGTCTGCATCAGAGGCTTCAAGGGCAGGTGGGGGGAGGAGGGGAAGAGAATTGAACAGGGAATGGTGCTCAGGGGAGGCAGCTTACAAGCCCATTCTCCAGCACCACCTCCTTGGTGCCACCTGACTCCTCCTTCCCCCCCACCAGCCATTGCCTCTAATAGAGGCAGCGGCAGGTGGGGTGGAAGAGATGCTGCTGCAGCTGGTCCAGGCAGGGGCTGGACTGCATTTTAAAAGTACTAAGAGCTGCCCGTTTCTTACTACATCTAAAACGCAGAGCTGCAGTGGGCCTAGTGCAAGCTGGAACAGAGTGCCTCCCTTTATTGACTCATCATGTAATTGATACAAATTGTATTGACTACATGATTAGTCAATTACCCACATCTAACATCCTTAGCTAAGGACAACCTAGTCCACTGCAATTCAATTGGAGTAGGTTTGTGCCAGTTTTTAAAGCCTATATAATCAGTTTATAAACCGTTTGGCAAGTTCTAATAAAGCAAGATTCTGCCTAATGCAAGCCTCCTAAAACAGAGAGAAGATGGTCCATTAGTTAGGGTACTAGCCTAGAATTTAGTAAAAGCAAGGACTAAATGCAGGCCTCCCATGTGTCCTTAGGCAAGTCCTTTAAACACAGAAAGCAGATTAAAACAGTGATAATAGTTCCCTATCTCACAAGGGTACATGAGGATAAGCAGTTTCTGAGACTGTCAGTTTCTAAGGAGCAACTATGATGCTGTCAGATTCACCTGTATGGTCTCATTCTCCCACTCCACCTTAATGAAGAGGCTGGCTACCAGCTGATATTACAAAGGGTCAAAACCAGCAATTTTATTATGATCCACAGGATATCTTTCTAGCTGGCCTGACAGCACACCTTCTTCCCAATTATCAATCACATTAGACAAAGGTCTTACAAAGTCTAGAGCAACATTTCTCAAAGTGGCCCGTGAAGCCACTTTGAGAAACATGCTAACTGGCTGTGCTGGTTTGTTTACTTACAAGCACCGCAACCCTGCAGCTTTCTGCAGCTCCTCTCAGCTGCAAACAGCAAACCAGCACCAATGGGAGCCGTGAGGTTCTGTGGCCATGAGGCTAGTAAGTAAACAAACTGACGAGATGAGTTACCATGTTTCTCAAAGTGGCTTATAGACCACTTTGAGAAACACTGCTCTAGAGAAATATTTTCAAACTGAGGTGCCTCCTTTGGAAATTTAAGACATAGTCTGTAGACCCCCAGGAGTCCATGGATCAAAGGTTGAAAACTGTTAGGGGTAACATGGAAAAAAGGTTGAAAACCATTAATTTAGAGATGCAGTAAAGAACCAGAAGAGATGCCACTTTTAATCCTTGTAGCTAGGTCTCAGAACCAATTTCAACTTGCTTGTTTCATTGGCAGCCTTGAGGATGTAGAAGCTAGGTTCTGCTAACAGGAAGACATGCTTGGTGGACCCAACCTACAAAGTCCTTCTCGTGCACAGCTTCAGGTAATGAACAGATTGCTGGGACAGGTAATGAACAGACTACTAGAACAGTGTGAAAATAGGAACAAGAGGAAAAAAAGGTGGCAGAAAAAAAAATCAGAAAACAGCAGAATGGACTGAAGAAAGGATCTATTTGCAACCACTCCATAGGTAAGGAGCAGGAATCCCAATAACATGCATCTCTTAGGCAGGGCCAATTGCCCCTAGGTTTTAAACACCAAAGCTCTTAAACTACTTGCCTCCCTTCTGTTAATTTCTCCTTCTAATGCAATGTCAATTCCAACAAGAAGCCAGTTGTAAAACTCATTTGCAGAATTGGAAATCAGATATTGCACTGGTAAAGTGTGATGCTTTACTCCAGATGCAGGAAGACATTTAACTGTTTAAAGTAGTGTTATTACTAAAATCTTGCTTTCAGCAACTTCACTGGCCAGTCATCACGCCACAAGAAGGCAGTCACATATTGGGCTCTTCACCCTAGACTTTGGACTTGCTTGTAGACTCTTACAAGTCACCCATTTCAGAGGCACTATATCTGTCTTTCAGAAGTGTTGGTAATGTCTCAAGCTGTTGAAACAAACAGTGTAGGCTTCACCATACCACTAGAAACCAATCCCACTGACAAACCTCCTGTCATCTAGCACAGACATCCAGCTCTGAAGCCACTAGAAACAAGTATGTTTACCTATTTTGGTATCCTACAGACTTGCAAGAGCAGAGCTAGAAGCTTTTCATTGTAGTCTGCTGTAAGTGGCAGGATAACTGCTAATGGGAAAACAAGACAGCTTAATCTGCAAGGAAGGACACTGCTCGTTCTTTAGCCTTGTGACCTTTGAACTATGTGTTTAGGAGTGTTCCATGAACAAATGAGTTATTTACCTCCATCCCATATAAGGTTATCATAGCTAAAGCCAGAGTATTTACCATCCAAGTTAGTGTTTCCGCCAACCTGGGAATTGTAGGTTTCCATTCTAGCAGAGTGTCTTCAACAAGTGCAAAACTCAGGAGTTTAAAGTTTCTGTACACAACTCTGCCAGACCTCTTCATCTTCACAAAAGGGAATTTTATTCAGGTCTGGTTTAGTTTACTTCCCTACTAAGGCCGTGTGTGATTTAGGATATGGACAAGAAACTAAAGTCTTTCGTTTACCATTAGATTCTGTGACACGAGCGGTTACTCACTTTTAATAGATGCAACTCATTTAACTGGAAGGCTCTATAGCCAAAATATTATCAGTCCCTAAGCTAGCTACCCTCTCCTTCTGCAGTATGCTTTTACAGAAAAATTTAGTTTAATGAAATGGCTTAAGATATATGAACAATTAAACTGTTTATTCAGTCATTCTTGTACTTTACAGCTGGAATTCTGGGAACTCAAAAATAACATCTTTGCCCGTGAGCTTCTTGTAGACACCAGAAAATGTTTCCACCTAGAAAGAAAGTTTAACAGTATTAGTTTGCTTTCAGTAGGTTACTTGTGGCTCTATCCACATTGGTGACAATGGCAGATGAAATCAGTTCCTGAATATCTATAGCATTCAAAATTCATCTTATTCTACATTTGATTTGTATAGTCATCCTAAATAATTGCCAAGATATCCTTTATCAATTGGAAAGGATAGGCTTCCCACTCATTATAAGCTAGTTTTCTTTAAGTTACCTGTACCAGCACTAAATTAGACTACATGAAGTACTAAACTGATGACAATTCTTCCATATTAAAATTAAGACTAAACCCATTAATGGATAACAAATTTACCAGCAGGACTTTCAGAGCTGTTCAAACTATAAAGGCAGCAGAGCCACACATGTATGTGCTCCCTGTAAGTTGAATGCTTGTGAAGCCTCCCGGAGAGAATGTTGCTTATGACCTGGTACACTGGCTTGGAAGATCAAGTTTTTCATTTTAAAAAAAGTAAACCTCTTGTCTACTACTTCATACCAAGCAGGAACAACTAGGAAAAAGGTCCTCGCAAGCCCAGATAATCAAAGGGAGAGTATAAAGTAGCCAAATGAAGTAAAACTAAAGCCTGATTTTAAAATTTCTACTAGCATCTCTTTAGTCCAAAATGTAATTAAAAATCAGGGTGTTCTCACACCATTGCCACAGCAGCACTTTTGAGCTTTATGCTCAGCTACAATTCCTCATCACAACTGGTTTCACAGAAGAGTTTAAAATTTAGTTCTTTACCTTGTGTTCAACATTGTTCTGTTGTGCTTTGTCCAAATGGACCTTTATGAGTCTGCTGCCGTCCAGTTTCACGCGGATTCTCTTGCCTACAATTTCACTAGGGAAGACCAGATCTTCGAGAATGGCATCATGTACTGCAGTAAGCGTACGGCTGAAATGCAACATTTTAAATTAAACCCTCAAAGGGTTAGGCAAGTTTATTCTAGCTATAAAACATAATTCCCCTTATATTCAGCCCCAAGAGATACCACCATAAATCCAGTGTTTATAAAAACAACCACACCACCACATCACACTAACACAACTTATGTACCAGCCCACAGATGAATTCTGTAGTCCACCATATCAAAAAAGTTAGTGGTGACCATCTCACAGTTCACCTCAACAGCTATTTCAGTAGCCAGATACATGGTAATATTGACCAGAATTTGGCATTTGGAAGTGAAAGTCACAATTAACATGTACTATTTCTATCAGTGCTTTATTATTCAAATGTAAGCAAGTTGTATTTATGTTATCAAGTTTATATATAGCTGCCACCTGTAGTTGTGATCAGTACTTCCTCAAATGAAGATTAATAGTGTATTCACAGCATTAAATAGGATGTCAACCTGTAATTTTAGCAAAAATATTGGATTATCCCCTCCCCCCCCACACACACACACGCACCTTGCAGTGTTAAGTGTGCGTTCCATTATAGAATCCTCATTTCTAGTGGGTTTTGAAGTAGTCACAATTTCAAAAGAAATGATAATGAAAGTTTCCCCCACCCACAGCTTTATTGGTGCAACGTCTGATAAGAACATTTTTCTACATCTCAAGGACCCAAGGTGGATAAAAACATTAAATAAAATCATGGTTCTTGACCTTTTAAAAAAAAAAAAATCAGATTTGATAAAAATGCTTGGAGAAAAACTTAAGTTTTATTAAGACACATCATAGCTCAAACATCCCTTTTCCATGATGAGAGATTATTAATTCGAATTCATGTCTTTTTTTTTTTTAATAAATATAACCACCACCCTTTTCCTGCTGTCATCATGTTACTCTGCATCCTACAGCCCTTCTCTGATGCTTGGCGGCCAGTGGGGGGAGAGAGAAGGAGAGAGAGCCAGGGCAGCTTCGGAACCGAAGGGAAGGAAAGAAGAACCGTGACCTTAGCCCAGTCAGATTATTAATTCGAATTCATGTCTTTTTTTTTTTTAATAAATATAACCACCACCCTTTTCCTGCTGTCATCATGTTACTCTGCATCCTACAGCCCTTCTCTGATGCTTGGCGGCCAGTGGGGGGAGAGAGAAGGAGAGAGAGCCAGGGCAGCTTCGGAACCGAAGGGAAGGAAAGAAGAACCGTGACCTTAGCCCAGTC